AGAAACTCACGACTGTATGCGCTCTTAGAGACAGATAGACGCGACAAATACGTACAAAAACACTACGACTCAGAAGACAAAAAACACGAAAACACCTTTCTGTTGGGAGAGAGAGAAGCCGCAGCATGTAAACGCGCCGCCATCCTTACATCAATGCAGTGAAGTTTAGCAACTTCTGTGCAACAGCTAATCGTCAAAGTTAACTCTCACGACAAACGGTTATCCCTGATGGAGATAAAAATGCAAGCTCTAAATGCTAAAAACAATGTTACAAAGTCAAGGGTCAAGAGCCCAACTACAGCAAACACTGATCACATTAATGGTGACTTTAAACGAAACATTCAACTTCTAAACCTCTGTTCTAAATAACTTTTTTAGACAAACTGGTTAGTAATGAGTGAAGCTGGTTGTTTAATCCTCCTCTGCTGAGATTTTGAGAGATTGAATGTGTTAACGTTCTGAGAATACTCTGGGAACATTACATTTCTATCGAGGTAGATGTTGTTCATTCTAACAGTGCTTGTTAACTACTTGTGTTTGTATTATTAATGTAATACTATGCTTAATTAGTATTCAAATGACGTGAATATTGACTTTGTGTAAATGTAGCAGTCAAGTTTTAATAAATATATATATATTTTTTTTTTTTAAATAGCTTTGTTTGTATTGCATTTATTTTAACTGGTTAAGAATAGCACATCTATGACACAAATTGTGTGATTTATGACACATTAGTGTGCTAAATATTTTAAGACACTGCATGTGTTAAGAAGACTAACACACTGGTTCTGCTAAAATTTAATTAACACAAAATGTGCTGTCCTTTATTAACTAGACACACAGGCGTGTTAAGATATAACACAGATTGTGTTGTTTTTAACACATCAGTTTTTTTAACACACTAATGTGTCATTAATCACACAATTTGTGTCATTAGTGTGTTAAATATTTGAAGAATATCAACCTGTGTTACGAACAATAACACACTGGTTGAGTTCAAATTAACACAAAATGTGTTGTCCTTAACTTGACACAGAGGTGTGTTAAGATATAACAAAGGTTGTGTTGTTTTTAAAACATCCGTTTTAAGAGTGTGTTAATCCACCAAAAACGAGAAAATCATACATTTTTCTTGGCTGCTTTTATTTATTTATTTTATTTATTTATTTATTCAATATTATTTCATATTTGATTCTTCCATTTCTGCATCTAAACACCTACAAACCTAAAACTTTATGCTATTGTTTGCAATTTGCTTATTGCACAATTTACTGGTATCTATACTTTTATTATCATAATAAACTTCTTTGTTAGAAGGGAGCTGCGGCTCTGCAGCACCGGAAGGGAGAGTCCATCTTGCAGCTGAATACGTGGTGTGGTTTAAAGCATCGGATGGAGGGCTCTCACTACGACCGAAGGGAGCTGCGGCTCTGGGAAGTACTTGACTTTGACTTTTTTTAATTTAAATCCTAAAAAAAAAAAAACCTTGGAAACTGCCATATTTATGAAAAGGTACTTATAAAGTGCTTGAACTATTGAAAAACAATATATATTAAATTAGTGTTTAATTTTTGCTAATTATATTAAATTAGTGTTTAATTTGTGCTAATGACGATTTTTGTTGTCATAAAAAGCTTCTTCATTACAATACAAAATTACAAAAGTCTATAGAAAATAATATGAAAACAATAACTGTTGTACTTTTTTAATCATTATATTGTTTATATATTATAATTGTTAAATAACCATATAACAAGTGACACAATAATGAATCATTACTGCTTAAAAATGTTGAAAATTCAAATGTTAAAGCATGAAATAAGATACCAAATCAGTGAATTTGAGTTTAATGTGGGTATATTATCAGTAAAGTAATCATTAAACATTTGTAATCCTTCAAAAAAAACTGGCCATTTATATTAATGTGATTCAGAGATGAAGGCCATAATACTAATGTTGTCCACACGAGGGAGCCACAGGATAGCAAATCCTTCAAGATAAAAGCTGAAAATAATTCAATAAATTTACTTGTATTATTAAACAGCATATACATTCATTTTATTTTCATTAAGCTTAATAAAGCCCAATATAAAAAGTATTCAAAAACTGAAATATCCTCAATATTCCAATAGAATATATATTTTTTAATCTTAATTTTAATGGTATTGACAATATGTTTGTCAAGTTGTCAGACATAACTGAATGTATGTCCAACTGAAGAAGGGACATTGTTTCAGTTACCTTCTTTGTCGTTGCCCACAACGCTTCAGTGACAGGACTACAGGACTTTGAAATAACAAACAGGCAAAACTATAAAAGGCATGACTTATTTCGCATCCAGCTAGCCAACTCTGTCCAAGCTGTTGTCATAGCCTAATTGGCTTTTTTATTAGAATACAACATAGCAAGGGTCCATAGAAAAATATTATGAAAACTATAACTGTTGTACTTTTGTTTGCAGCGGGGCAGCTCAAGAACGCCGAACACACAAGTATTCTGGCTCTTTTGCCTCAAGGCTGCCCATGCCGCTTTGTCAAGCCAACATTTTAAGTTTGTTCACAAACTTTAGCTTCTAGTTAGAATTCTTCTTAGACTAAAATAATTAATAATTAATGTTTAGAATTAGGCGTAAAACCATCAGGAACCATTTAGTCTCCAGTTCCACCATTTTCCAGAACTGCAACCTTCCTGGAGTCTCCAGAAGTGCAAGGTGTCAGGTTCTCAGAGATTTTGCTTGGGTAAAAATATCCTAAAAAATGACCTTCCCTTAATAAGAATAACATGCTGAAGTGTTGTGAAATACACAAAGACTAATTTTTATAGGCTTTATAGACAGATAAGTTGAGAGTGACTCTTGAAGGTGCAGCACCACATCCTCTTATACCACTGTTTGAAGAATTTATCTTCCAGAATCTGGCAGTAAGTTTTAGGAGCTCATTTTTAGTCAATCTCTGCAAGACAGACTTTTTAGGATAGAAGATGGACTAAAAATGAACTCCCAAAACTTACTGCCAGATTCTGAAACCCTAAGCCTAAGAGTTTCAGATACACAAAGTAGTGTTTAGATTCATTTTATGTACAGAAATATTCTTTGTTTAGTTGACTCAAATGAAGTTCACAGTGATACTGTAATCACGTTATTAAGACAGCATAAATATTAGTTGTTGTTTTTTTTGTTTTTTTTGCACTGTATGGTTTAAGGCAATTTACAATGAAATTATTTTTTCCATTGTCATTTTTTTATTCAGATTATCTATGCTTTTAATTCAACAGCACTTTTCTATTTAACAGACATTTTTCCCTAATGCCAGAAAATTACAGTTTTTCTGGGATTTATTTTATTTTTTTTGCAGTGTATTCTTCCGTTGACCCCTGCTACAACTACACTGTGCTGGACGATCCATGGAGAGCCAACAGCAGTCGCCTATCAAGCTCCTACAAGTGTGACAGTGATCTCACCTCGAGCAGCTGGTATCGTCTCTTCATTAACAACATGAGCGCTCAGATCCCAGACACGTGTGTTGCTCAGTATAGCTGTGGCACTGCTATCCCACTGTGGATTCGTGGTGGACACCCAACAGTTGAAGATGGAGTCGTCACTCGAGATGTCTGCGGTCACTGGATCAATTACTGCTGCTTTTTCGGGTCTTACCCCATTAAAGTCAAAGCCTGTCCAGGCAATTATTATGTCTATGAGCTGGTTAGACCAACTTTCTGCTATTCAGCATACTGTACAGGTAATTATATTCACATGAACTCTTTGTTTTATTTGTGTGATTGCTGATTCATTGATATTCATCAGTCTTTATTTTTTTTCAGCTGTTACTAACATCAGCAGGACTCATACAACAGTCACACCAGAGACGAGCCCAGCTGGTAATGTAGTCTGATATTTCCTCTGTTGATTTGTGTTTTGATTGAATGTTTGTGGGTCATTGCAGACATTTTTATTTTCGAGGGCGATGCATGAGTATGATGGTATGATTGTTCACAGATTCTGACTGCAAGGAGATTGAGTGATATTAGTCACCTTTAGATTCTTTCTTTCTTTCTTTCTTTCAAATTTCTACAAACTAGTTTTTGTTCATCCACACTTATGTATGGAAGCCCTGAACCACAATGTGGAATATATATATATATATATATATATAATCTCAGATCCTTGCTGACCTTAAAGGTCCCATATTGTACACCTTTCTGGAGTTTTATTTGAGGTTTTGATGTCCTTAAGAATATATATTTGCGGTATAAGTACCAAAAACCATCTCAATATATGTTTACCGCTCCTCTCTCAGGAGCTCTGCTGAGAACAGGTCGATTTTGGTCTGTCTAGTTAATATTCATGAGCCTCTCTTCTGATTGGCCTGTTGTGTTCTGAGTGACGCATGGCCAGGCCAGCCACAGGTAACTAGGGTCAGCCGACGTCACAGCACTAGCTGGAGGCAGCAAAACAAAGGGGAAACTGGAGGCGATCGCATATCTGCTACCTGCAATGGGGAGTGTGGAAAAGAGGTGAAGAAGGCAGGTTGGAATGGGTGGAGAAAAGTGTCAGGTTTGTTGTGTG